GTTAGACATCAGTCATTGTACAAACTCTTTAGTAGTACAGTTAGACATCAGTCATGGTACAAACTCTTTAGTAGTACAGTTCGACATCAAACATTGTACAAACTCTTTAGTAGTACAGTTAGACATCAAACATTGTACAAACTCTTTAGTAGTACAGTTAGACATCAAGCATTGTAGAAACTCTCTAGTAGTACAGTTAGACATCAAACATTGTACAAACTCTTTAGTAGTACAGTTAGACATCAGTCATTGTACAAACTCTTTAGTAGTACAGTTAGACATCAAACATTGTACAAACTCTTTAGTAGTACAGTTAGACATCAGTCATTGTACAAACTCTTTAGTAGTACAGTTAGACATCAAACATTGTACAAACTCTTTAGTAGTACAGTTAGACATCAGGCATTGTACAAACTCTCTAATGGGATTGTTAGACTATCAGATATTTTACATAGTACTATTCAATGCAGCCTATTAGAAACAGACTCAGCTTGATGGTCTCATACAAAGCAGGGTTAATATCCATATTAGATTATCATGTTCTCTTTCTGAATAAGCATTTAATTTGCCTCTGTACATTAAACAGCCATCCAGCATTATCATTATTACTTACAGTCAATTAAGTCCTGTTCAGAAACTTAACTTGCAGTCAATCCAGGATTGTTAGTTACATCTCTGGACCATCACAGTATTTGTTGCAAGCTACCAGTACTTAAACATTTGTTTATATACTGAACAAATCTGAATTTGCCACAGACTAACTCTTCAACCAGTTCTGAAATAGCTGCCATGTACATGTCTGAAATAAGACCAAAAAGGTGAACATAACTAAATAAATCATTGTTCAGTCTTTTCAGATTGATTAACACTCAAATGACCATTTCAATACAATATCCAATTAACATAAGTCAAAGGAAACAGTACATTTTGTTTGAAAGTTATAGTGTCATTTGACAAATGAGGAAATATAAGGTTCCACCACTGCAACAAGTGTGTTGCAATATTTCTCCACTCGAGACATTTAATTTTCATATTTAAAGCATGAGGCTTGCCGAGCTTTTTTAAATAATTGAAATTTAACTGTTGTGAGTGGAGATATATTGAATACACGAGTTATAATGGTGGAATCTGTTTCTCTAATGATTTTTATCCTTCCATTTCAAAGATTTGCAGAAAGTTGTATTCCTTATATGTGACGTCACCAGGCATTGTCGCCTTTTTTCCTGACGTCACAATAGGAAGTTCAGAGGAAATGAAGAAAGTTAAATGTCATAATTAAATTTCGACTAATCATTTGCTGAGAACAGTTATTTCACTAGTGAGGAGAACAGTTTTTTCACAAACGGTTGGGAAATGTAAAAATAGTGAAAAAAAATAGAGAAACACAATTTCAAATATCTTTTAAATGGAACAAAATATATCCTAAACATCAAATTGAGTCATGTGTAGACTTGCTACCACTTTTATTGTGGGAAAGTGCTTATTTTTTCGATACACATTTTTACAGCCAAATTTATGTCATATTTTAACCATCTGATTGAATTTTTTTTCACACTCAACACACAGACAAAAGGTGACTTTCACCTTTCTGGCAGTAGTTAGAGAATAAAAGAATGATTTGTCATTGTCAATTGGATGTTTATCTGATGTTACTTTATGAAAAATATGTGATGAATTAGGGAAAAAGAGCTATTTTTCATGCATAATGTAGCCTTATTGACACAAAGCAAACCTTTGAAGTTTCAGATTTTCTGTTTGTAAGTCAAATTCTGAACAGCTTTGTGGATAAACTCTTTATCAATATCCTTTTCTATTTTCAAATCTATTTATTCTAAGTTTCCTTTTTGTGGACCAATTACCTCAAATCAAAAGACCCTAGCAATCTGAAAATTTTGTTGATATTTTTTAGGGTTACAAAGGAGTAGTATGGGACAGTGTTAGGGGAGATCTCTACAAAGAAAAGTGTTGGTTTAAAACAGGACTAGTTTCAAAAGTGCAAAATTAGTTCTGTATCATATACCAAATAATGACATCTTGCAAAAAAAAATACTGTGCAAATAAAAAAAGTATAAGAAGACAAACAAAAAAAATAATCAGAACAACTTTGAAAGATTTCCACAGAAAGGTGGGAATATTTTAATACTTTTCATATGTCTTTCGAAATAATAAAGAAAATTTTTAAATTTGTATGGCAAAATTTTTTTATACATTAGTTCTGAAATTCCTGGTTCAAAATCCTGAAATTGTGTAATTTGTAAATAACATTTGAAAACCCTATAAGGAAAGGATATATTATTATTGGGAAAATGCAATAAACTTTTGATTAACTTTACTGGGTAATGTAATTTAATTGAAAAGAACCATTAAGGACTTAATACATATCCAGGAATCAACCTTGGCTTTTTGTTTTTTTGGTGGGAAAGGTATATGTAAACATTTTAATTAATTGATAAGGACTGTACATACTTTCTTGTTATGTAAACTGTATTGATATTCTAATAAAGGAAATGTTTTCAAACTTTTTTTAACAATATGGAATTCAAAGGAACTTTCATATGAAAAGAAAAAAAATCCTATACATGTATATGTATCAGTAATGAAACAGCCCTGTGCATCCACAAGTAGCCACTATAAGTTCTTATTTTCAAGGTTAGAGGTGAAAAAAGTTGGAAGTAGTAGTCTAAAGATGAAGGTCATCCTTGTAATCACTTAACCATATTTAAAGAGGGTAGTGGAATAAGTTTTACAGATTATTCAACCAGATGGTCAAGTTATATTGTTAAGGGTTTTATTGCCCTTTTCATGAATTGTTTGTTCAGTATTCTACTATTCTGTTCTTGAAAATATATTCCAGCAAACCTGATAATTAACTTCCTGCATTCCAGAAATAGAAAGTAAAAAGGTGCAATGAACTGATGAAACATTGCTTGTTAGATAAAACTTGACAATCAATTCACAAACTTCAATGTATGAATTATTACATTCTTATTCTCTGGAGATTGAGGAGAAATTTTCTTATTTTGTAAGTAAAATGAAAATTGTTAAAGGGATTTGTTAGTTTTGTTTGTTGTATTTTTCCATCTCTTCTTTGTTAGAGGAACATTCTATTTTTGTTCATTATTAAGAGGACAGGGTAGTCCAGTGACTATTTGTCAGTGGAGAGGCTAATTAAATCAGACATGTTTATATTTTAAGATGGCATTTCATCTAGTAAGTGTTCAGTTCCTTCTTTGGTCTGGCCTGTTTTATATATTTCCTCAGTTGTTTAGAGTTTCTGTGTTGACATCATAAAGAAGTAAATAAAATTCTTATAATTTGGGATTGGTCAGAATCCTAGCTAATGATTATTGTTATGTTCTAGTTTTGCTGTGTCCAATATTAAGAAAGTTCTCAAAACCGTGACAAAAGCTGCAAGTAGTCAAATTGCTCAGAACTAATGTAAGTCTTAGTCCTAATTTCTCCCTTGCCCATGTGATCATTGACTTTATTGAAACTTCTGACAAAAACTGTGAAATGATGAGAATGAATGGCGAAGTTTTTAGCCATTGAAGATATTGAGAACAAATCTTTTAAAAGCTGTGTAAGAGAGAAGTGGTTAGAATTGATTGTGGAGAATCGTTAACGGAAGTCCTATAATACTACTGTATGATGACGACGAGATTGTTAGTTTATTCAGACAAGTTGATGTTTTAAAACTTCTGGAGGCCTAATTTAATCGTCGTTGATTTTATCAGGTAGTTTATAGTTAGCAATATTTGTAAAATCTATTCAATTCGGATTGATTTTCCGTTAGAGTTTTTGGTTCACCATTGTTGATTTTTAGCCTTGGAACAAATTAAGAATTTTGACATAAAATTAATAATTTGAAGCAGTGTTTGTACAACCATCAAAGTGGCTCTGTAGTATCTTAGATAAATCAAATACTAGTCTTTCATATTTTGAAGCAGTGATTGCAATGGCATTTTTAAATAATCTATTAAATATAAATAAGAAGATGTGGTATGAGTGCCAATGAGACAACTATCCATCCAAGTCACAATGTGTAAAAAGTAAACAATTATAAAGTATATCACAAAAATATTTTTCATCTTTATTAGTCAGAAGACTTTGTATAACATTGGTAAAAATGAGCTGTATTATAATTCTTCAGGTTCTTTTGAAATTCTCTTCCTCGTTTGCTTGTTATTTTTAGAGATATTTAATCTAAACTGTTATCTAAGAACTTAATGTTTTAAGTTTCTCCACCTATTTAATTTTGATGGAAATCTATACATTCTATTTCAATCTAATTCTCACTAAAGGTGTCCCAAACATTTATTCACTGGTTTGATGCTGTTCTGTGTTATTCATAAAAATCCATGAATGAAATTGTTAACTTTTGCTGTGGTTTGGTTTAATCTTTAGTTTACTACAAACAATTATATGTAAATGGATGATTTGTCTATTGTTGAAGACTGTATGATGACCACAGATTGAATGTCAGAGTTGTTTAAATCGACTTTGTATTTCTGTTCTATCAATACAAACTGTTCTAATGGTCAACAGATAAAGATAAAGCCACAAGCCCAATATTTTGTTAGAAACTGAGATTACTTGAAAAATGAATTCTGCAAGTATCTCACTAAGCAAAGTTCTTAAATTCCCTGCAAAAACATGCTTTTTGTGCAGAAACAATTAAGATAAAAGACAATTAGCAATATACTAATGAATTCAATAGAGCAAATTTTGAATTCATGTCTGGGGGCTGATATGGGATAAGATCCTCACATGTGTCATAAATTTCAATTAAGGAAATTACACCAATTTAGTTTTTCTTTTTTTTTATCCAAAGGGAAATAACTCTAAAACAAATTGCTGATAAATGGACATGTCATACTAAAGAATGTGCCAGATTGTAGATTATAAATATGATATTGCATAATTAGAGCAAAGCAAAGCATCATTCATATGTAGATTGACAAGAAAATTTTGGTCAATGGAATAAATATTTTCTTTTTCAGGAAGTGACGAATGGGAAAATGAATTACAAAGATGTGAAATATACACAGTTATCTAATAAAACAGAAGTATGTTCCAGATGTTGTACTCCACGTAAACTCTTCACCTATTTCTTTATTCTTACTGTAACATTAATTGGACTACTAGTTACATGCTATAGTCATAGCAGTGTGTGTGATAAAAATGATTTTCGGAAGGTGCATATGAGACAAACGAAACGAAGACTGCCTCACTGTATTATCATTGGAGCTAGGAAGGCAGGAACAAGAGCATTGCTAACTTATCTTGGGGTTCATCCAGATATTCAAACTGCTCAGTATGAAGTGCATTTTTTTGATAATCAAGATAATTATGATTTTGGATATGGATGGTACCTAAAACAAATGCCTTACTCATTTCCAGACCAACTGACAATTGAGAAATCCCCTGCATATTTCACTGAACCGTTTGTTCCTGGTAGAGTTTATAGTTTGAACTCTACCATCAAGCTACTGCTGATTGTCAGGGATCCAGTACAAAGAACTATTTCAGATCAACTACAGCTGAATTTTAAAGGACAGGACATGGGTTTGGAAGTGAAACCTTTTGAAGAATTAGTTCTTAATCCTAAGACTGGAAATATTGATATGAACTTTAAACCAGTTCAAAGATCATATTATGATGTATACATGAAAAATTGGTTGAAATATTTCCCATTGAACCAATTTCACATTGTGGACGGTGATCAGCTAATATCTGATCCTTATCCTGAAATCTATAAAGTAGAATCATTCCTTGGACTAAGACATGCAATACCTCAATCTGACTTTGTTTACAATGCTACTAAAGGTTTTTATTGTCTAAAAACAGATACAGCATACCAAAAGTGCTTATCAGGGACAAAAGGTCGTTCTCATCCTCATATACAGAAGGAAGTTATTGAAAAACTTAAAGATGTATTTTGGAAACATAATGAAAACTTCTTTGAACTGGTCAATCGGAGATTTTTTTGGAACAATAAAACCATGACATCAAAGATTGGTAAATAAAGTAATAGTAATACCTCATTCTACCACACGGCATAAGAAATCAAATTAACATTAGTATAGATGGATTTTTCCTCATAGTTATATATAGGTTTTCTGTAAGTTAATCAAAGTACTGATTTTGTATTATTAGTTCAAATATACAGGTTAAAGGACAAATATTACAACTACCAATCAGAAAAATCAGTAGAGGATTTTGTACTCAAGCATAGTCATGTAATAGTTAAATTTAAAAATATGACTTCCTGTTATAAGGTTTTTATATTTCAGCAAGGTTTGTTCTATAAATTTTTATAAACGTCAGAAACTGCATTTTCAATTGTGATCTGCATTGAGTTTATTAAGTCAGATGTGCCAATATCATTTTTTTTTATTATAGATATCTGATTTGCCAAAATTTGCCATTTATTTTTATGTCTTTTTTTCTTGCCTTAAGTAGACATATTGTCTTCATTGTCATTCGTGCTGTTTTGTTTCTGTCTCATTAAAGTATCACCCACTTGTCCTTTTATTCATATGTATTCAATATTTTTTGGATTTGTTTGGCACTTGAAAAAAGTTAAAATCAGTTGAATTGAAAGCAGATTTCGAAGATCTTAAGTGATAAAAATTCAAGCAAACAAGAAAAGTTTGCAGAAGGCAGAAAATATTCTTATTTAACCCCGCCACATTCTGTATGTGCCTGACCCAAGTCAGGAGCCTGTAATTCAGTGGTTGTCGTTTGTTGCTGTATATCATATTTTTGTTTTTCGTTCATTATTTTGAACATAAATCAGGCTGTTTGTTTTCTCATTTGAATTGTTTTACATTTGTCATTTCGGGGCTTTTCATAGCTGACTATGCGGTATGGGTTTTACTCATTGTTGAAGGCCGTACATTGACCTAAAGTTGTTAATTTCTGTGTCATTTGGTCTCTTCTGGAGAGTTGTCTCATTGGCAGTCATACCACATCTTCTTATTTTATATTGTTTATTATTTGAAAATTACAAAATCAACACTACTTAATGTATTTATTGCAAATTTCACAATTTTATATTGTTCAAAAGCATTATATATATATATATCTTGTTCTATGTAACAGTTGTTGTACATTTATAAAAATAATCTATTTTCATACAATATAGAAGCTTGTAACAGTATCATATAGAATTAAACAGTAGAGAAAAAAACATACCGGTATATTATATAAATGGTAGAAATTAAGTAAATAGAAGATTCACAATGTTCATAATTTTGTTGTTTATCTTTTACTTACTACATTGTTGATATAAAAAATAATGTAAGATTTATACATCAGTGTTTTTTACCTGCACAATTTAATATTTTTGTAACATATTCATTTTTATAATTTTCCACTAACAGCACAAAGACTGTAGATTTTTATACTTACTCAGATTTTTTGCGGCCACATATGAATGAGATAGGTGGTTATTGTTGTCTGATTGTAGACCCAATGGTTTTAAGCATTATAACTTTTTTAGTATACTGATCTTCCTGAAGTAATCACAATAAATAAAAGCTGGTATTGTAAATTTGGATTGTGGCCAAACCAATTCCATTATAAAAACCAAAAGAGCTTTTAAAATTTCATGCATCTTTTTTTTTTTATAAATTTTGTCCCAGCTGTCATATGATATCAGGGATTCTTTGTAACATAATACTGTATCTAAAACATCATGTGTCAAACATAAAACTGAATCTTAAAACATCATTTGTATCAAACACTAAACTGAATCTTAAAACATCATGTTTCAAACATAAGACTGAATCTTAAAACATCAGGTGTCAAACATAAAACTATATCTAAAACATCAGGTGTCAAACATAAAACTGAATCTTAAAACATGTATCAAACATAAAACTGAATCTAAAACATCATGTATCAAACATAAAAATGAATCTTAAAACATCATGTATCAAACAAAACTGAATCTAAAACATCATGTGTCAAACATAAAACTGAATCTTAAAACATCATGTATCAAACATAAAACTGAATCTAAAACATCATGTGTCAAACATAAAACTGAATCTTAAAACATCATGTTTCACTCATACAACTGAATCTTAAATCATCATGATTTAAACAAAAGACTATCTTAAAACATCAGGTGTCACTCATAAAACTGATTTAAAACATCATGTTTCAAACATAAAACTGAATCTTAAAACATCATGTGTCAAACTTAAAACTGAATATAACACACACATGTTTCAAGCACAATTCCTATGTTGTTAACGCTCTGCTCCATGTAAACAATTATTTAGCTCATCTGGACCATGTGATTTATAGGCATCACTAACATCTGTTGTCTGTCCATAATCTTATTTCAAAATGTTCTCCTGTGAACCAGATTTTGATTGATCGTTGAGATTTATAGATAAATTATATAAGATTTTGATTGGTCGTTGAGATGTATAGATAAATTATATAAGATTTTGATTCACCAACAAATTTTTTTAATAAATTGTCTCCTCTGATACAGCTGAAAATTTTTTACCAATTTCAAAATTGTTCTGGGACTTCTTGAAGAGTTATAGCCTTTGAAACAGGTTTGAAATATATTGCACAGATGAAGTAAAATGAAAGAAAAAATAATGTAGAAATTTTTTGTACTACAACTAATGCTTCTGACTTGTTCTTGTTTCTCAAGTGTCAGGTTAGTGATTCAGTGTTCTGGGAGCCACTAGTTTTGAAGTTATCAACATGTTGCACTTCTCTCTCTCACAAGGCATTATTAGTATTAAGTAGTATTTTTTTAATCAAGCATTACTATTTTTGAAATATAAATCCATATGCTTCTTTTGCTTTCGGAAATTTTTACACAGTTTGGATATTTTTAGATTTGGACAATTCTATTTCGTATAAATTGAATTTTTCAACGGTTTCTATTTGGAAGATTTATAACTTAAGGTTATATTATTTAAGATATTCATAAATATCACATATGTATTATAAGCTATTTTGGATATATATGTGAAAACACCAACTCATCAACACAAAATTACATTGTCCCAATATGGACTAATCATAATAATAATATGATTATAATAAATTCTTTATTAATAGAGGGTAGCTAGTTACAACAAACAAATGTTTCCTGAGGCCTGCACATACACATTACAATACAATCAAAAACAGAGATTTACACATAGTTAATTTACAGTCATATAGTTCAATGTACCATTATAAAAGATAAAGCAGTTAAAGAGGTACATGTAGTAAAAAATAACAGACATAAAATAACAAATATAATAAACAAATCAAAATAATACATTGTAGAAAACAGAGGCTTATCACGACTGTGTCAAGTGCTTCTTGATACTTTGTTTAAAAGTAAAATGGATTATGAAAGTGCAATAGACAACTGCACATATTTGTTATGAAATGAGGATGTAGAAGGGTTTGATTTTTTCCTTCAGTATCACCTTTGCAGTTAAAACATATTTTCTAATGAGTTTATTGAGTTACTGATTTCAATAATGTGAAAGCCTGGGTTGTGATATAGGACAGTATAAACTATAATTCTTGATAGACATGATGTATCATAGATGTATAGTTGTACAAGACAGTCTCTTCATTTTATTTTTTAATGTTTGATATATTTTACTGAAAAAAATGTGTTTGTTTTCATAATTATGATATTTTAAGTGTTTGTTTTCATAATTATGATATTTTAACATAATTTTGTAGACCTTGCTGCTCAAAATTCATTTATGAATTATAAATATGAAATCATTTTTCTCATAAAAATTACCTTTGGTATTCAGGTTTTTAGAAATCACATTTTTATGGATGATTTGTTGAACCTTAAGTAACATCTAAGTTTGATGTTGTATTTTTTATTCAATGAATATTTTGGGATTATGATGTAGTATCATGTACATTTAAGTAATTTGTCTACAATTTATGATGTAGGTAAGATGATACTTTTTAGCCACTCTAATTAACAAAATTAAGAACTTTAAATCAATTTTATAACTAGGTACATACTTCCTTTATAAATAATTTGAATAATTTGTTAAATATTTAGAATGTGTCGTTCTATTTCCTGGATGAGACAAACGATAGGATGTGATAAGGGTATTATTTAGCTATTTCCTGGATGAGACAGGATGTGATAAGGGTATCATTTAGGCTATTTCCTTGATGAGACAAATGATAGGATGTGTTGTGGGTATTATTTAGCCTACTTTTTTACTGAAGTTTTAAGTTAAGTTTCAGATTTATGCCTATTTTTATGTTGAAGAAATACATAACAAAAAAAACAGATGGTTTACAATAGATTAAGTTGCATGAAATGACTTGTGTGGTCATGGAAAAGTCCCTTCCATATGTTTTCATGAAGAAATCACATATTTTGGTCCATTTTCAAATAGTTTTTAGACAATCAAGTTTATTACACATGGAAGTACCAAGTACCTGGTTAACTTTACCAAATTTTTGAACTCCACTCATGTAGTTTTGTGGTACTTGCATGTGATCAAAATTTCCTACTGAGAAATATTTATCACAATATGCAATTTTTATGAAAATAAAACTTTTGCTTTCTTTTAAGTGTAAATTCTCAGTGAATATTCATAATGTTTTGAAGATCTTGTAGTTTGAACTTTGCACATAATTGCTTATCATCTTAACACAAAAATTAGCTGTTTTATATAACTGGAGACTCCATGTAATAGAATATCAGCTAAATGAATATATTTAATCAAAGTTATTACTGTAAATTCAGAAATTATTGTGAGGTTTTTATAAATGCAAATAATGCGGCTGGGTGAGTATCGCAATAATAAGAACTTGCATTCCTATATCTGAAACATTGTCTATTCTTCAAAAATCGCAATAATAAATGCATGCAATAATTTCTGAATTTACAGTACTCATTTCAGTAGGTTGAATTCTTAATAACTTTGTTGAGTAGAAAGGATGTGCATCAGACATGAATAACCAATGTTTCAAGTCTGTATTATTGATATGAACTTAATTTATGGCTAATTATTATACCCCACTCTAAAAGTGGGGGCTGTATTGCAATCACCTTGTCTGTCTGATTGTCTGTTGTAAGACAAATATTTTCATCACACTTTTATCCCAAACTACTGAACAGAACGACTTCATATATGGTCAGCAGCTTGACATTGATGAGTTGTAACTTTTGAGCACTTTTCAGATATTTCAGATATTTCAGACACCTACTTCCTGTTTGCTGAATTTTGCAAATGATGAGTTGTAACATGTGAGCGCTTTTTTTTTATTGGACGATACCTTTAACTATTTAACATGTTGACTGAAAACAAATATGTTTCTCACACTTTTTTTCAAAAACAAAAAAATGCTTAGTAAAATGACTTCATATTTGGTCAGCAGGTTGACTGTGACACTTTTTGGATTTATCAGACACCAACTTCCTGTATTCAGATGGGGGTATGCTATGCACGAGAAGAGGTATGATGGTATGATGGTGAATGCAAATGGTTTCCATTTTGTCAACCTGTGTTTTTGTCTTGCCTTGAAGGAGTTGAAAATCAAGACATGGGTATGCTGCAGCACCAACACTGTATTAGTTTGTGATTAAGTCAGTTTATGGGGAACCACTAGTGGTAGGTCAATGATATTTGGTATGCAGTTGTATTAGCATTGGCACATCTCATTTCCATGGAGATTATATGGCTCTGGCCCCTCATTCATGGTCTATTGACTTTGAAACTTTTGCTTAGTTTATGTTTTATTGTGTGATAAGGTCAGTTTATGGGGAACCACTAGTGGTAGTCAATGATATTTGGTATACAGTTGTATTAGCATTAGCACATCTCATTTCCATGGAGATTGTTTGGCCCTGTACCTTCAGTCATGGTTCATTGACTGACTATTTTTCATAACTTGCATGTTAAAAGCATTGCTTTTTTTGTCCCCACATGACGTGTTTTGGGGGACATAGAAATACCGGGCATCCGTCCATCTGTCTGTCCGTCCAGTCTTGTTAGTGCTCTCACATGTACAATTCTTGCCAGATTTTTATCGAAAATTAGTACCGATCAACTGTTTTTAAAAAAGTTATGCCACTTGGAAATATTAATTATATGGAAAATTTCATTGTTAGTGCTTTCATGTGTACAATTATTGCCAGATTTTCATTCGTTCAACATTTGCATTTTACTATCAAATTAACAAAAAGCCAAGACATATCTCTGTGTTAAGTATGATATTTCAAAATAATGTTTTAGTTATTGAGTTTGTGCAAGCTTACCTTAAAAATTGAATAATGCAGACATAAAGATTTTATCAAAGAATTCTATACCTAGCTGTAAGAATGTTAAGCATAATTGATTAGTATGTAATAGACGATTTTCATTCTGATTAAGCAAATGTTGTCAGGTTTTATTTATTTCTTGTTTGATACATTAGAAAGATGGTACTCTAATCATGTAACAGTATACTGCTCAACAAACAAAAATCCTGTACCTTTTGATATTTCTGTTACCAATTTTTTATATCTTTATAATAAATTGTATTTATAAGTATTTGTCATGTGAGAGAAGCTGCAACATGTGAGACTGTTATACATATTTTCTGCATTAAGTTTGTTTAAACTTGCATTCACCTTCATTGATTTTTGAAGGTGATTGTTCTTGGTGACACATTTTTAACTTTTATTGACCTCAATTTTTCATTCCAACTGTTTGGTTATGTTTTCAGGATTTAACATCTGTTCTTAAGTAACTATACCTGAACGGTCAACAATGATTGTGAGGTGTATATTTCCATCTAATGTAAGTTCATCTAATCTTCATGCTCCCATGTTCAGGTGCTGTTTAAAAAAGAAGTCCATTCTTTAGCATCAGATAAGTTTTTAGGATGAGGTACATTCCTCAGTAAGTAGGTCAACAATTTTTGTATATAGTTTGGTTGTGAGGGGTTTATGTCTCAATGACATTGTAATGATGGGTACATGCTCCAGTGGTCTGTTTTTATGATTAGGTCTGTTCCCCTGTACAGGAAGGATCAATGATATTTGGTATGTAGATTGGTTGTTAGTCCTTGACCCATTTTTGTTGAGCCTTCGACTTTAGTCGAAAAAGTGAGACATAGCGATCCTACATTCCGTCGACGGCGGCGTCCACAAATATTCACTCTGTGGTTAAAGTTTTTGAAATTTTAATAACTTTCTTAAACTATCCTGGATTTCTACCAAACTTGGACAGAAGCTTGTTTATGATCATAAGATAGTATCCAGAAGTAAATTTTGTAAAAATAAAATTCTATTTTTTCCGTATTTTACTTATAAATGGACTTAGTTTTTTCTGCCGGGAAATATTACATTCACTCTGTGGTTAAAGTTTTTAAAATTTTAATAACTTTCTTAAACTATCCTGGGTTTGTACCAAACTTGGACAGAAGCTTGTTTATGATCATAAGATAGTATCCAGAAGTAAATTTTGTAAAAAAATAAATCCATTTTTTCCTTATTTTACTTTTAAATGGACTTAGATTTTCTGCCAGGAAACAACACATTCACTCTGTGGTTAAAGTTTTTAAAATTTTAATAACTTTATTATACTATTTTGGATTTGTACCAAACTTGGACAGAAGCTTGTTTATGATCAAAAGCTAGTATCTAGAAGGAAATTTTGTTAAAAAATAAATCCATTTTTTTCCGTATTTTACTTTTAAATAGACTTAGATTTTCTGCCAGGAAACAACGCATTCACTCTGTGGTTAAAGTTTTTAAAATCTTAATAACTTTCTTATACTATTTTGGATTTGTACCAAACTTGGACAGAAGCTTGTTTATGATCAAATGCTAGTATCTAGAAGGAAATTTTGTTTTCTTCCAGTTAACATTACATTCAGTCTGCAGTTAAAGTTTTTAAACATTTAGATTCATAAACTATCCTGGATTTTTACCAAACTTGGACAGAAGCTTCTTGCAATCAAAAGATAGTATCAAGAGGAATATTTTTATTGATTTACTTCCTCATTTTTGTTGAGCCTTCGATTAACAGAAAAAGTAGGCGAGACACTGGGTTCCGTGGAACCCTTACAAATTTTTATACATACTTGGACCTTACACTAAGACAGGTTTCATTGAACCTTGTCCTAAGTTCAATGTGTATTTCCCTTTGAAATAACAAAATAAAGGTGCAGGCAAGACATATTGTAGAAATGACAATAATTAACCTTTTGCAAAGGTTGAACAAACATGTTAACAGCTATGGCTGCAATTTAGTCAATTTAACCTATTTGAAAGTTTTTTATTTGTTTTCCTTTCTCTAATACTCCAGTTAAACTATTAACCCAAGATATTTATATTTCAAAATGAGTAATACAACTAATCTGTGGATTACAGTTTTGTACACTAATTTTTATATGACTATTTAATTTATGCAGTTGTATGCATATTTAAACTTAATGTCATGCAGTTTTATGCATATTTTAATTTTACTGTCATACAATTTTATGCATGGATGGTAGCATATTTTGATAGATATGCATATTTGATCATAATTTTCTGCAATTTTACACATTTGTGCATATTTCGATTGTTATATTAAAATTATATTATACTGCAATGTGTTAGTTATATAAAAACAAGGATTTGATCATGGCTTATAGTTGAGTTAAATACTGATATCTTATAATGAAAAGTACTGGTATTCCTAGAATACTTTAGAACTACTGATATTTGTTGGGTACCTATTTCAGTGGTTTCATAGTCCATAATAGCACAAATTATAACACCAGACAAAATGTTAATTTTTCTTTTAATTTATGTTCACAACATTAAGGTCATTTAAATGATTGTCCCAAGTCAGGATCCTTTTGTCAGTTTAGGAATTTTGTTGTCAGTAGAGACACTAATTATATCCTCTGCAAATGCCTGTCTCTCCAGACCAACTTATTTATCCTTTGTTTGATTCACTTCAAACTTAGTAGAAAAAAGATCATGATATGCAAACATTAAAATGTGAAGGAATTTTTTATTCTGTTTAGTTAATCCCAAATCATGACCTTTCACCTCAGAAATTTTTTATTTATGAAACTTTGTACATACTGTTTCAACTAACTACAGTGATCACATGATGATATCAGTTGCCTATGCAAAATAGACTTCGTAATCAACAATTCTAATTCATATAAAATTAAATCAGATTATTAGTCCCCTACAGACGAAGACGAAGGGGACTTTAGGTTTGCAAGCGTCCATCTGTCTGTCCGTCCGTCTGTCTGTCCTTCTGTCAGTCCGGCAAATCAGTTTTTCACACTTTTTTTCTTCATGCTTGAAGATATTGATTTGATATTTGGTATATTGTTTTATCATGACAAGTTACAGATCAAGTTCGAATTTTGTTTCGGTCTGATGATTTTGTGCAGAGTTATGGTCCTTGGGCTTGGAAAATTCACTCAAATATTCAGTTTTCCACACTTTTTTTCATCATTCTTGAAGATATTGATTTAATAATTGGTACATTGTTTTATCATGACAAGTTACAGATCAAGTTCGATTTTTGTTCCGGTCTGATGATTTTGTGCAGAGTTATGGTCCTTGGACTTAGAAAATTCACTCAAATAATCAGTTTTCCGCACTTTTTTTTGTCATGCTTGAAGATATTGATTTGATAATTGGTATATAGTTTTATCATGACAAGTTACAGACCAAGTTTGAATTTTGTTTTGGTTTGATTATATTTTTCAGAGTTATGGTCCTTGGACTTAGAAAATTCACTTAAATTATCAGTTTTCCTCACTTTTTTTCGTCATGTTTGAAGATATTGACTTGATATTTGTTATATAGTTTACACCATGACAAGTTATAGATCAAGTTAGCATTTTGTTCCAGTACAATTATTTCTTAACCGGTAGGGGACTATGTATTGCCATGCAATACTCTCAGACTGCTTGTTTTATATGAATTCAGAAATTCTTTGCTCAGAAACTTTCAGACTTTCAATGATAAAGAGGTACATGCATCTGAGACAACATCAAATAAAAAATTTTAAAAAGTCAAAATTTATGTTATTGACATCATTGATTTTCTGTATTTCAGTCACTAGCATAATCAAATGTCAATCCAGGATGCTGGGGATATTAGTCCAGCTTAGTGAACAGTCCTAGTTAGCCTTTTTGTTGCTTTTATTTAGCATTTTAATGGAAAAGATAGGATAAGTTGTATTAATGAATAAAAGCCATGCACACATTTAACAAAACCAAAAACTAAGGAATAACACATTTATTGCTCTTTTACACCCCTAGGCACAGTGTGGCCTTCAAGGGAACATTCTTGTCTTTTGATAGTTAGATTTTGCCACAATATTTAAAAATGAGGTTGAAGAAGAGGCTGATTTGATTAATGCTGACAGCAGACTAAACAGATGTCACAGTAGAGGATAGGTACAACATCAAAGTTCCAAGGATTTGTCAAGGTTGCATTGGACTTAGTGTTTAGTGTTTATATGTTAAGCCTAATACATAACTAAATATATTTAGATATGCATAAAAATGTGAATTGAATATAATTTTACTTATTTGTTTTCAGGGTGACGGAATGACTACCAAGTATCACCCTCTACCTCAGTACTCTGGAGATACTCAGGATAAGGCATGTTGTTGTGGATTAAGTCGACGGAAAGTTATTTTTGCCTCAATAATAGCAGTCCTGGTTGTCATAATTGGTCTATACACTGTATGTCATCCAACAGATAAACCTGTAGTGAATTTCAAGGATATACTCTCTGACAATGATTACAACAAGCCCAAACATCGTCTACCTCACTGCATCATCATTGGCATGCGGAAAGGAGGAACTCGTGCTCTACTTCAATTCCTTGATTTACATCCAAATATTCAGGTTTCTTCAAAGGAGGTTCACTATTTTGATAGAAATTTCTTTCAGGGAATAAGCTGGTACCAAAAAAATCTGCCTTTAAGTTATGGAGATCAAATCACAATAGAAAAAACTCCTGGTTACTTTCACAATGATAAATCTCCAGAGAGAATATTTCGTATGAATAGTACTATCAAACTGATATTGCTTGTACGTGATCCAATAGAGAGAGCAATGTCAGACCACCTTCAATTAATGGACAAAAGGTCAAGGATGAATCTGGAAACAACTAGTTTTGAGGAGAAAGTTTTGAAGGATAATGGAGATGTAAATGATAACTACAAGCCTATCCAAAGATCTGTTTATTATCAGTTCATGAAACATTGGCTCAGATTTTTTCAGTTGGAACAGATCTTGATTGTTGATGGCAAGAATCTGACAAAGAACCCTTTTGAGGTGTCTCAGAAGGTTGAATCTTTCTTGGGTCTGGAGCATAGAATAAGCAAAGCCTCATTTGTTTTTGATCGGACAAAGGGATTTTTCTGTATCAAGAATGAAACAACTGGACATAAATGTCTTAATCGAACAAAAGGTCGGACACATCCTGAAATTGATGAAGAGGTTGTAGCT